CATGATCTCACTTCAATTTTCCCACGGCAAACGACGACGTAATCGCAACGAAAATCGTCAGAGACCATCTGTGGGTGGTAGTATACGTGTGTGCCAAGTCTAAAGTCAATCAGATTGACGAAAGGGCCAAAGTGTATTGGTGGAAGAAAAACGTGTACAAACCCTATGGAGAGGAGTCTGAAAAAGAAGGCGGGGAATGGGGAGGAAAAACATTTTAATGGAAACAAGAGCTATTTCGGCAGACATGCCGAAGCAACTGAAAATTCAAAACAGGGGCGAATAATGAGACTTGACATCGTTCAAAACGATTGTAAAATTTACTCCACTCACGAAAATTCCCCTGAGATATTGATTACGCAAAAAAAAAAGTTTGTTTTTGGCACATTGTTAGAGCCTATAACAATGAAGTTTGACTTTATAATTGAACATCGCGCAGGGCAGAAACACGGCAATGCTGACGCCCTCTCGAGATCTCCAGGGTGCCGTGCTACCCCAACGATTGTGACAAGTACGGCGCTAAAAGTGAGCAGTGGTCTCATTTCAATAAAGTCGACAACGTTTATCCATCTATCGACCAGAAGCATCAACACTAACTCTGCTGAAGCTCAAACCCCTCAGAACATGCTCACTAAGTGCCACATCCGTGCAGTGACGTCACCTCCGAAATATTCAAGCCCGTATCATTCGTGACAGTTCTCATACTGATGGTAACAGTGGTATAGCACTCCTACTTGGTGGTGTGCGCAGCCTAGTTGGGCATATTTGGCGCTCGTGCATTGAAGTTCAGCGTCGGCAGTAGGGAAAGAATTCCGATCTGCTATTTTGCAAACACAGACTCGCCTACTGGAGAAACTCCCGGACACCCTTTACTTGTCCGCCGCCATTCGGGCCATGCGACCAAAACGTGCGAAAAACGCCACTGACTCAGTAAGAAAGGGAAGAACTGCGACTCGCCCTCTGTTCCCGGCAAGAATGCAGTACCGGTGTAAGTACCGGATTGCAAAGTGCAGAACAATTTAATCTGACTGAAAAGCCGGATGACAGAGACAGAGATGGTCACTAACACCGGTTCAAGTGACGGACATACCGCATCGTGGGTCAACGTTTATGTACCTCGGAGAAAATTGCTGTGATGCAAAGAGCAGACTCAGAACTGAAAGTTGTACTTGAGTGGTTGGATCAATCACCCCAACGTCCCTGTAGAGACACAGTGGCTCGTCAAAGACCTTGCAGAACGGAATACTGTATGAACGGCGGTAACTTCCGACAGAACAAAGTCATATCTTCAGCTCGTAGTCCTCGACTAGCTGAAAAATACTGTGTTACGACTTACGAGCTACCCATAATGCCGTAACATCTGCTCATCTTGGTGTCAAACAAGACAATCAGAAAGACAAAACGCCAGCTCTACTGGTATAAGCTAAAGGAGTCCGTCCGTGAGTGGATCTGAAAGTGAAGCAAGTGTGGTGCCCGCAAAAGACCACACCAAACTCCCCCGAGCCTTGAGGACTTATAATAGGACCCTGCCCAAAACCGAACAAGCGAAGTGTGCGTTCTTTCAGCAAAACGAAGACAATTCACACACATCCCTATGTGATTTGTTTTTGCTTTGCTGAAACAACATTTACCATTTGGTGATCCGTGGACAGAACTTGAAAACGGTGGCTGTGTTTAAAATTCCCTAACTTGAACATTACATGAGTGATTTCAATAATTCTGGTACTTCTATCGTGTCCTACTCAAATTGTTCTCAACCAATGTTGAGCACAGACCTGTGTCGTGATGGTGTTGTTGGCTAAATCTTTGGAGAGACAAGGCTCTGACAACAGCGGATATCTCATGAGATGGTCCATTGTGTGAGATTCTGTTCCACAGTTGCATGTCGTTGGACATGTAGTGTATCCCCTCTTACTGAGTGATTCCCTACATCGGCCAACTCTGGTGCGAAGGCGGTTGAGTGCCTTCTAAATAGGCCAGTTATTCTCGGCACCTCGAGGTAGACTTTCAGCAGCTGGGATTTTCATGTCCAATTGTTGTGTGAGTTTGGCGCGATTTCCATTCCACGTTTCGAGTCGTGCCTCTGCTGTAGAGGTATGAAGGGGTTCCACAGTTGAATGAAAACTCTCACGTGACTCGAGTCGGCTCGGTGGGGGTGTATGCCCATATAGTGAGTGTATGTAATCCATGACTTGCTTCTGCCGTTCGGCTCTAATGGCCACTGCCATCAACACATTTGGTGGTGCGATGCCAAAGAGTATGCATACTGGCTGTCAGAGTTTGTAGGCTGAAGGCAGCCGGTTATACATCTACAACTTGCGTTTAAAGCAGAATCTAGCTTCTTGACATGTGTAGATCGTTCCCACACTGGACAAGCATACTCTGTCGTTGAAAAGCAGAGGGCAAGTGCTGTGGGTCGCAGTGTAGTAGGGCATGCTCCCCATCTGGAGCTGCTGAGCTTGCTGAGAATGTTGTTGCGGGTGCTGATTTTCGTTGTGGTTTGCTCAACGTGGGCCTTGGCTTCTGTCCAATGTTAATCCAAGGTAAACTGGATTAGTTTTGTGCTGTAGCTTTGTACTAGACCGTTTGACTTTGAGTTGTCTGTTTGCTTCTTTGTTCTTAAGATGGAAAGCAGACACTTGTGCTTTTGATGGATTTGCTCAAGCATGTTTTCTTCGTAGTAGCCACATAGTGCAGAGAGGGCGTTCTCCACCTCTTTGAAGTCTTTACTTTGAGTGGTAACGCACTGGTGGTCTGCATAGATAACGCGCCTGGTATGGCCTTATCTCTCGGTTGGTCGTTGGTGTAGATATTATACTAGGCCCTTCTTTTGTCTCCCCCGTCTTCTGGTTTTACTTCAAGTTCAACAAAGAAGCGTCGGTTAGAAAGCATTGCTTCTATGAGATCTGTGAGATGGACATCTTTGGTAATATCGAGTATTTTACATAGCAGGAGTCTGTGATTTACAGTGTCGTAGACAGCTGATAGGTCAACAAAAACTGATCCGGTTATCATTCCTGCTCAAAGCCATCTTCTATGTGTTGCGTAAGACTGATAAGTTGACCAGGCTGCCTGTTCAGGGATAAGTTATTCATCTATATGTGGAGCGATTCTGTTCAGGATGAGTCTTTCAAAAAGCTTGTAGGAGTGGCACAGGAGAGAGATCGGCCGGAAGCTTTTTGGGTCGGATGGGTCTTTGCCTGGTTTCAGAAGCGCCATTACGTGTGCTTTCCGCCAAATTTTGGGGATTTTCAGGCCTGCCATATAATTGTTGAATAGTTGGAGGAGCTTCAGTTCCAAAATGCTTGATTTGTTCTGTGGCAATGTTGTCCAATCCAATAGCCTTCCCTGGTTTGAGGCTGGATATGCCAGTTTCAAGCTCTGACATGGAGAAAGGTTTCGTGAAACTTGTGTTATCCTTGTATTTTGTCCTATTGGGTTTTTGTGTTTGGGTTTACTCTTTGCTTTAGGTGCCTTGCCATTGAGAAGTAGTTGATGTGCAACTTGATTGGCTGTTAAGTTGTGATGTTGGTTACATGGTTAGGCTTCTCTTTGGGCCGTTGCCTAGCTTTTTGATGAGTTCCCAGGCTTTCTTACTGTTCTAAGACATGTCTGTGGTTTCAATGAGAGAAATCCAACATTGCCGCCGTTCGGAGGAGATGTTGACCATTAGCTCTTCGCCTCTTGCAGTAGTTTTCTCCGCAAATGGGTCTCTTTCAAACATGGCGGGTGTATTCCTCATGGAGCTTGGCGCTATGTACATGTATGTTAAACCTGGGATGTATGTGGTACGGCAGCCGTTTGTACTAAAGAAAGCTTATGAATTATCCTATCCTAGATTTTGACAATGCTACATGCAAAACTTCACTAAAGCAATGGTCCCGACATTTGAGTTTCGTTGTTTTTTTACTCACCCTGTAGTTTTGCGAAATAACGCAATAGTTTTGCAAAACATTACAAAAGTGTATTATGCAATACCTACCATTGCCAAAAAAATTGCAATAAAATTTATTGCAAAATAACGCAATAGTATTGAGAAATAACGCAAATTATTGCAAATTAAAGCGTTCGCTGCGAAACTTACCCTGCTCTGTTATTTCGGTTGTGTAAAAATTAGACGGTTGTGTACTACATGAACCTAGCAACCCGTTGTGTAAACTGTTGTTTACACAAATTTGTGTTAAATATTACACAACTTGTTCAATTTTTTTACACAACTGGTTGCTAGGTTCATATAGTACACAACCGAAATAACAGTGTGGCGTAACTTGCCCAGGCGTCACACATTCGTGTTGCTTTCGCGCTGATAGTATTGCAATATAACGCGACAGTATTGTGAAATAACGCCAGTAGTATTGCAAAATGAAGCAAAAGTATTGCGAAATAACGCAATAGTTTTGCAACCCATAACAAAAGTTTATTATGCAATACGTACCATTGCAAAGAAATGCAATAACATTTATTGCGAAATAACGTAATAGTATGGAGAAATAAAGCGTTCGCTGCGAAACTTGCCCTGGCATCACTTGCCCTGGCGTCACATATTCGCGTTCGCTTTCGCGCCAAGCCTTTAAAGACCTGTTCATACTTCATGCGAATGCGAATGCGAAGCGAATTTGACGTCATGAAACATTCGCTGCGATATTCGCCCGAGTTGAAATCTGTTCAACTTTTGCAAAATTAGCAGCGCGAATACTTGCCATGACGTCTCAAATTCGCGTTTGCTTTCGCTTTCGCGCCGAGTATGAACCGGGCTTTAATGTAAAAGCATTGCAATATAACACGATAGTATTGTGAAATAACGCAATAGTATTGCGAAATACTGCACTCTGAGGATTGAAAAACTATTGCGTTACTTCACAATATTAGGCCTACGTTATTTCGCAAATTTATTTTATTATTTTGCAAAACTATACTAGGGGTTATTTCGCTTTTAAAACCAGGCACGAACTGGCTTCTGTATTTGTTTACCAAAGAAAACTAATACTATAATAATAGAAAACATGATGAGTTCAACCTACAGCACCAGGGTTAAAGCCCCTGCTTCAAATCTGCCCTCTCACGGAACTATTGACACTCTGTCTTATGACGACGGCGTCCGAAACTCTCTTGGGAGGGCATCGTCTGATAAAAATAGTCTCCGGAAGGGTCTTGCTCGACCTAGGAAAACCATCCTTTTTGGTCAGCTTAATTGTCGAAGTCTCTCTTCGCTGTCATCAAGAGAGGAACTTAATAAACACATATGTGACTACAACCTATCTGTTACCTGCATCCAAGAGCACCGTCAAGTACATCGACCTGAAGACCCTGATATCCGAATCTCTAGTTTAGGATCATCAACCATCTTCACCTCTTCTGCAACCCGGAATCGACAAGGTGCAGCCGTTGGTGGTGTAGCAATAACTGTTCAAACATCACTGCTCCCGCTGCTGACTTCTATCTCTAAGATCAACGACAGAATTATGCTCGCCATCTTCAAAGGCAATCCCAAGACATACGTTGTCTCCTGTTACTCTCCCACTAACACAAGTGATGAGGCGTCTATTACTGGGTTCTACAAATTTCTCAATGACACAATTGCCTCCATTCCCCTACATGCCCTCCTTGTCATCGGAGGGGACTTCAACGCTCATGTTGCAAGGCAGTTCTCCTACCACTCTACTACCAACCGTAATGGTCAGCTCCTCAGTGACTTTGTTAATCGTAACAACCTTCTGATTACCAACACACTATTTCAGAAGTCCTCCAAAAAGCTCTGGACTCACCGTTCACCTAACAAGTACCTGTCACAGATTGACTTCATCCTGTGCCGTAAACGTTGGAGAAACAGCATCCTAGATTCTCAAGCGTATTCAACATCTGACCCAATTGGCTCCGACCATCGTATAGTCTGTGCTAAGATAAGGCTCAGTCTTCGTTCCTGTTATGGAGTGGCATTACGCGGCCACCGTATCCATATTCTATGATGTTATTACCGGCTGTTAATAAACGTCTCTCAGTGAATGCTACACTTGAGTCCTGCCGTCGTTAGAACATGGTGTCAGAAATTAGCTGAATCCAGCGCCATTACCGCAAAGAACCGGCAAAATCTTCGGCAATCTTGGTGAACGGATCACAAGGCATCCGTCGGCAGCACAGACTGATCCTGTCACACATGGTAGGCTGTGCAAGAGAACGATAAACTGAATTTTCACGCGGAGTTCCCGCCATTGAACACGTGCGTATTACACTGTGAACGATAGACTGTACATGTACGTATACATTGCACGTTGAGTTCACGCCATTGTCGTCAACGTGCGTTTCGCTGTAAACTACGGAGGCCTGTAACGGACACATCGCGGTGTACATTACGCACGCACTGCATATTAACCATGGCGCACTCGCTCATTCCCCCACCGGCGAAAATGGACATGAAAGGAGACCAGGTTTCCAACTGGCAATTTTTCAAGGCAAGTTGGCAGAACTATCTAGTGGCCACAGAACTGGATAAGAAAGATACTTCCATCCATGTGGCTACATTACTCACAGTTATGGGGAAGGAGTGCTATGAAGTGTACGAAAATCTGCCACTAACAGAGGAACAGAGAAAGTCACCACAGCAAATCCTAACCAGCCTTGGAGCTCATTTTGACCCTAAACGCAATGTGGTGTACAAACGATTCATGTTTAACTCCTGTAAGCAAGAGCCCAAAGAGAACATTGACACTTTTTTGAACAGGCTGAGAAAGTTGGCAACCACATGCAATTATGGAGCGCTTCTCGATGAAATGCTCCGAGACAGGCTGGTCATAGGAGTAGTAGGCAACAGCATCCGTGCTCGTCTGCTGCGTGAGTCGTCACTGACATTGCAGAAAGCCATAGACATATGCCGCAGCAGTGAACAGGCAGCGATCCACCTTCAGCAGATGGATCCGGTAGAGGCAGAGACAGCACACTTTGTGAAAAACAAGCAGCGGACACAGAAATCTGGAAAAGCCAGCAAGCCTCCGAACATAAATTGCAAATACTGTGGCAAATCACACAGCAAGGGCAAGTGCCCAGCCTACGGGACAACTTGCTCTAAGTGCCAAAAACGCAACCACTATGCGCAGGTTTGCCAGTCGTCGGGCAAAGACCGCACCAAACGTCAGCCACAGAAATCCACACAGAAGCTCCACCAAATGCATGGAGACGAAAGTGGCAGCGACGAAAGCATCTATACAGTGCAGTCAAAGCCCAAGCAGCAATACTCTGTTGAGCTAGCAGTGGAGACGCCAACAAGGGATCTGACAAAGACCATCAGATTTCAGCTAGACTCTGGTGCAACTTGCAGCACCATGAAGCTGACAGACTACAAGCAGCTCAGTGACACGCCTCCGGTGCCATCAAAGACTAAACTGAAACTGTACAATGGCACAATAATTCATCCTGTTGGAGCTGCCAGCTTGAGATGCCAGATCAAAGGGGTCACCAGGAAAACCCACTTCGAGATCGTGGAGGATGCCCCCTCATCTCTGCTGTCAGGTAAAGCAGCAGAAGCTCTGGGACTAATGCAGTTCGCACAGGAGTGCTTAGTGCATGCAGTGACAGAGTCACCGACTCAAACCAAGGAACAGGTCCTCAGTGAGTACAAAGACGTATTCACTGGCCTTGGTCGGCTACCAGGTCTCTACCACATAGACATTGATCACAGTGTCACTCCAACGCAGAACACCAGGCGCAGAGTACCCATCCCGGTGCGGGCAGAGCTGAAACGAAAGCTAGACAGCATGACAGCCCAAGACACCATTGCCCGGGTGACTGAGCCTACCAAGTGGATCCACAACATGGTAGTCGTCAGAAAGCCAAACAAAATCAGGGTATGCTTGGATCCACACGGCCTGAACAAGGCCATTACCCCATTCCCACCGTAGACGAAGTAGCCCCGAGGTTACTGGTTCTGCCAAGGACGGTTTTCTTCAAGTCGTCCTTGATGAGCCCTCCAGTTATCTGACAACATTTTGGACGCCTTACGGGCGTTACCGCTGGTTGAGGATGCCCTTTGGTATCTCTTCAGCACCGGAAGAATTCCAGCGCAGGCTCCATGAGTGCCTGGAAGGCCTGGAAAACATCGCAGTGATTGCAGATGACATCCTCGTCTACGGCTCAGGAGAAACGCAGGCTGAAGCAGAAGCCTCACACGACGCTGCATTCACCGCTCTTCTCTCGAGATGCAGAGAGCGGAATCTGAAGCTGAACGCAGGCAAACTACGGTACAAGCTACCCAGTGCCACATACATGGGACACGTCTTCAGCTCAGACGGACTATCTCCAGACCCAGAGAATATCAAGGCCATACTCGACATGCCTCGCCCTACAGACGTCCAGGGAGTGCTGAGACTCATCGGAGTGGTAACCTATCTGGCTAAATTCTTGCCGGAACTGAGCACAGAATGCGAGCCACTATTTGACTGATTGACACATCATGACGAGGCCCTGGACAAGATCAAGAAGCTCATCACTAAAGCACCAGTACTGAGCTACTATGATGTCAACCAAGACATCGCGATCGAGTGTGATAGCTCCGAGGTTGGGCTAGGAGCCGTCATCACACAAAATGGCCGCCCAGTCGCGTACGCCTCACGAGCACTTTCTGCCACAGAACTATGCTCAAATAGAAAAAGAGTGTTTGGCAATCGTATTCGCCACACAGCGCTTTGAGCAATACATCCTAGGCCGCAACAAAGTGCTCGTGCTCGCCGACCACAAACCTCTGATGAACATCTTCAGAAAGCCAATCTTGGTGAGCCCGTCTACAACGTATGCGACTCCGCCTACAGAAGTACTCACTACACGTAGAGTACAAGCAGGGTTTGCGAATGTACTTGAGCGATACACTGTCGCGAGCATTGTTGCCAACACGACAAGTCACAGATCAGACACCAGACTCTCTGATCTTCTCCGTCACTCAGGAGCAGAAGCTCAACATGGAGTTGGAGAACATGGAACCAACCATCTTCGTCACAGACGAGCGTCTGCAGAGAGTCAAAAAGGCAACGCTCGCTGACCAAACCCTACAAACGCTGATGCAGGTCATCCAAGCAGGCTGGCCAGGGGACAAGGCTCAGTTCCCTTGTGTATCAGGGAATACTGGCCATACAGAGATGAGCTGAATAAACGTCTCTCAGTGAATGCTACACTTGAGTCCTGCCGTCTTTAGAACAGTTCCACAAAACCTACTGCCCGTCCTAGACTGAACTGGTCTGCAATGGCTTCAGATAGAGAACTTGCATCTTCTTTTGAGGACCGTATCACCCATGAGTGGTCCTCATTGTGCCCTGACGACCAATCTTATGGCTCCTTCGTCAAAGTGTTTGAGAGTGTTGGGAAGTCTCTCCTTCCATCACAAACCAAACGACCACCTAGCATTGCATCATCGACACCAGTCAATGTAGCTCGAACAAAGGTACTCACCTCCTTACCAACCAATCTTCCTGCTGCTCAATCCAACCTCAGTAGTGTGTATGACGAGCAAGAAGACCTCAGAGTCAACAACATCCTCAGTACTTTTGACGAGTTGGAATCGACCAACTCCATCCAAAATGCCTGGAAACTGGTAAAACAGCTCTATGGTAAACGTCCAAACACCGTTTTCATTCAAGGTGATGATCGACTTGCCTCTTGGAAATCCCATTTTGAGAAGCTTCTCCGCTCTGATAATGCCTCCAATGACCCAGTCTCCATTGATCCCGTCTTTGATCCAAACCCTAACATCATAACTGGCAAATTCTCCCAAGCCGAGGTCAACATAGCCATTAAACAAATGAAGCTTGGCAAGGCTCCTGGTCTGGACAACATACCTATTGAAGTTTGGAGGCTTCCTAAACTTAAGAAATATCTCACAAGGTTCTGCAATGCAACCCTTGAAGGCAACCGCCCTCCAGAATGGGGCTTTTCCGGCATCGTCCCAGTTCCAAAGAAAGGGGACCTCACCATCCCAGACAACTACCGGGGAATCAGCCTCTCTCAAACTGCTGCCAAGGTATACAATCAACTACTTCTGAATCGCATTCGTCCGGAAGTTGAGAAGATACTCCGTCCCAATCAAAGTGGCTTTCGGCCTCTACGTTCAATCTCATCTCAAATCCTTGCCCTCAGGCGCCTTATTGAGGAAATTCGTAACCACCAGAAGGAAGCTGCCATCATTTTCATCGATTTCTGTAAAGCATTTGACTCTGTTGACAGACCAACAATGTTTAAGATCCTGCATGCTTACGGTATCCCGGAGGAGACCACTCATGCCATCAACATTTTGTATGAAGATACAAGTGCTGTTGTTCTCACTCCCGAAGGTGAATCAGATTCGTTCTCCGTCAACACTGGAGTTCTTCAAGGTGATCCTCTCGCCCCGTACCTATTCATCATAGTTCTGGATTATGCCCTGCGGACAGCATTAAGTGTAACCGATGGTCTCACCCTCTCACACCGTAGGAGTAGTAGACACCCTGCCCAATATCTATCCGACCTAGATTATGCAGATGACATTAGTCTGCTTGCAGACACCCTCCTTGATGCCGAATCTCTCCTCCATAAAGTAGGAGCTTGCTGCAAGTCCGTTGGTCTCTCTCTTAACGCAAAGAAGACTAAGTACATGTACATGGCCATCAACCCATCTACCTCTGATGACGTCACTGCACTAGATGGCAGTAAGCTCCATAAAGTTGATGACTTCAAGTATCTGGGCTCCTACACCAACACAGCTCATGACATCGAGTGTAGAAAAGCTCAAGCTTGGTCTGCTCTGTTCTCACTGACCAAAGTATGGAGATCCTCGATCTCCAAGACCACCAAACTTAAGATCTTCAAGACCTCAGAAGAATCCATCCTCCTCTACGGTTGCGAGTCCTGGACCCTGACCAAACAGTTCTCTGCGTCCATTGATGGCACCTATACACGGATGTTGCGGGCTGTTCAGAACGTTTCTTGGCAACACAATCTCCCTAACTCTGTTTTGTATGGTGCCCTTCCCCCTATCTCCACCACCATCAGACAGCGTCGCCTTCGGCTAGCCGGTCACGTTTATCGACATAATGAGCCAGCTAGTCAAGTTCTCCTCCGGAATCCTGGAGCCCCCTCGACGAAAAGGTCGTCCCAACATGACCCTGAAAACATCCATCAAGCTAGAAACTGGTCTGAGTGGTCCATCTCTTTCCAACACTATGCTCGACAGCGACAGTTGGGCCCAACTTATCAAGTCATCATGAAAATGAATGAATGAATGAAGAAGAAGAATAAATATTGTGGCGTCCGTGCCGGTCGGCCGCCAGAGGGCACCAGCGCGGTTCCACGGTGGAGCCGCGCAGTGGAGGCCCTGGTGGCCGGCCGGGAATTTTGGTGGGAGGAAAGGGGGAAACAAGGGGGTTTCTGGGGACGGATTTTCTCATGAGGGAGGATGTGGGGGATGGTAAAGTGGAATTTCGGGACTTGGGCGGGGGGTTAAGTCATTGCAGTACGTCTACCCCTGCGGGGGGCGGGTGTGCTCATTACCATAAATCATCAATGACTGGTACCCTGTCCCACGAGGGGCCGCCCCGTGCTGTAGACGGCAGCGCAGCAACGGTTCGTTCCAATCGGACAATCCCGAGTTGTGCTGGTCGATGCAGCGGGGGTGGAGCTTCGTCGGGATATACCCCAGATATTCTGTAACAACACAGTATATGCCAGGTCCCACGAGGGACCGCCCCGTGCTGTAGACGCTGGCGCAGCAGACGTTTCGTTCCATTCAGAACGATCCCGAGCTGTGCTGGTTGATGCAGCGGGGGCGGGGTTTCGTCCTGGGGCAACCCGCAATCCCTACGCTCATGAAAATAGTGCTAGGCCCTACATGGAAGCGCCACTTGGTGCTTACATGGATACGACTGGTGAGGCCTCCCATTCTGGGCGCCCCCAGACTGGATTTGCCCATATAGCGGGGGCGGGAAACCGTCCGAGCACGCATCAGGGGGCACAACCGGGCGCGGATCTCCCCCAGCAGTACTTTCGTCCCCACTATCGCAGTACGGCGAGTCCTGACATCCACTCGGAGCAGGCCCACACTGCACGACTCTATGGGACGGAGCCGGTGGACTTGCTCCGCACGGGAGTCTATGGGGCGGAGCTGACAGAGTTGCTCCGCACGGGAGTTTATGGGGCGGAGCCGACAGAGTTGCTCCGCACACGAGTCAATGGAGTGGAACCCGTGGAGTTGCTCCGCACACGAGTCAATGGACGGGAGTCCGTAGAGTTGCTCCGCGCACGAGTCAATGGAGTGGAGCCCGTGGAGTTGCTCCGCACACAAGTCAATGGACGGGAGCCCGTAGAGTTTCAACGCACACGAGTCAATGGGGCGGAGCCAACAGAGTTGCTCCGCACGGACGTCTATGGCGCAGAGCTGGCAGGGTTGCTCCGCACGGACGTCTATGGTGCGGAGCCGGCAAGGTTGTTCCGCACGGGAGTCAATGGGGCAGAGCTGCTCTGCACACAAGTCAATGGTGCGGAACCGAAGAGGTTGCTCCGCACGGGAGTTTATGGGGCGGAGCCGACAGAGTTGCTCCGCACACAAGTCAATGGAGTGGAACCCGTGGAGTTGCTCCGCACACGAGTCAATGGACGGGAGTCCGTAGAGTTGCTCTGCACACGAGTCAATGGGGCGGAGCCGGCAAGGTTGCTCCGCACGGGAGTCAATGGGGCAGAGCTGCTCCGCACACAAGTCAATGGTGCGGAGCCGACGAGGTTGCTCCGCACGGGAATTTATGGGGTGGAACCGACAGAATTGCTCCGCACACGAGTCAATGGAGTGGAACCCGTGGAGTTGCCCCGCACACGAGTCAATGGGGCGGAGCCGACAGAGTTGCTCCGCACGGACGTCTATGGGGCAGAGCTGCTCCGCACACAA